CATATGCGATCATGGCCCTCCACATCTTCCTCTCCCTTGTAGATCTTAATAAGTTTTGTCTTGTTATTTCTCCCAAACCCTGTTCTATCATCCATTTACTCAAGCTCATCAAGTATGTTAGGCGCTGCACTTCTGTCCCTCTTTCCATCAATCTGTCCTGTAAGTATCAGATTTTCCAAGCCTTCCTTCCACATTACTTGTCCCAGAAATTTCAACGGCCTCTTCCTGATGTTAAGTATGTTTCTTCTTCGTTTCCATTTTCTCCCAAACCTTGTCGGTGCTCACATGTTCGGTCCATGGTAACTTCAGCATCTCTCTGTAGAACTACATTTCTGTTGCTTTAAGTCTCTTCATCTTTGAGGAGATTGTTCAGCATTTGCTGATATACAGGACAGATATCCCGTAACAGTTCAATTCTCATTTCTTTGTTTCTAATTTTTTCTGTATCTTAATACTCTGCTTAGCTTTTGGAATGCATCTTTGGCCACCCCAGTATGCCTTCAGATCTCAGTAAAATTATTTTCTTAAATCTGGTTTTCTTTCTTTTTCATTTCTCGTGCTATTAATCTGATTATTTACACCGAACAAGAATTATTATTCTAAACTTGACATTTTAGCTATTTTTTTTTTAAATCGGGTTCACCTCAAGCAAGGCAGTAAAACCAGACACAAGAGGTTACTGGGTGTGGAAGAGTTAGAAACAGGAACAATTGCTAAGTAGCAAGAAGAAGATTAACCAGGAGGAAAGTAGATAGCGATTGACATTGCATTTAAATTTTTACAGATTAAAGTTGGATGGAAAACGTGGAACTGGAAGGGAGTTCTACAAGCGAAAAGTGCAAGAAAAAAACTGTTACCATAGAATTAAAGGTTACATCTAGCCAGCTCAACTCATCGGCAGTCGTCTTCTATTCTTTCTTTTTATGTGCCGTGTCCATTCAGGACGTAGACAATCATGGCTCTCCACTTCTCCTATCCATTGTAGCTCTCAGTAAATTTCGTCCCTCTACCACTTTCCCCAGATCACGTTCTGTCATCCACTTGCTTAAGCCCTCCAGGTATGTCATGTGTTGCTTTCCCTAGTCTCGCTTTCCCTCTATTCGACCTGTGAGTATCAGATTCTCCAAGCCCTCCTTTCTTATTACGTGTCCCAGAAACTTCAGACGCCTCTTTCTGATGTTAAGTATAAGACTCCTCCTTGTTTGCATCCTCTCTAAGACCTCATTGTTGCTCACATGCCCGGTCCATGATATCTTCAGCATCTTTCTGTAGAACCACATCTCCGTCGCCTCGAGTCTCTTCTTAATCTTTGAGGAGACTGTCCAACATTTGCTGCTGTCTACGGATCTCAGTGTCGCACTTGCTGTCCTCTGTCAAAACACTTCCCAGATATTTAAAATTTCACACCTGATTGATTTTAGTGTCTCTGGCCTGTAAATCGCATTTCGGGCTCATCCTTTTACTGATGAACATGCATTCTGACTTCTTGTAGTTTATGCTTAGTACCTTTTTCTCGCTATCCTTCGCTACCCTCTGTAGGAGGTTTTGTAATTTCTTTTCCGTGTCTGCTATCAGTACCGTGTCATCTGCATATTTTATGTTGTTATGATTGTGGCAGCCGATGCTAAATGCCGGTAGGATTTCCAGTTCTCTCAGAATTGGCTTACTGTATAGGTTGAATAAGTCCAGTGAGAAGACACATCCTTACCTTACGCCTCTTTCTATTTTTGTGTATTCGCTGAATTTGTTCCCTATGTGCATGCATACCATTTGCTGCCAGTATAGGTTCTTGATTATTCTAATATCTTTCCCGAATATATCAAGGTTCCTGAACAGTTCCAACAGATCCTTGTGACGTACTCTGTGAAAGGCCTTTGCGTAGTCTATGAAACATAGGTACACGTCCTTCTGCATTTGTATTGCTCTTTCTAATAACATTCTGAGCATGAATATCACGTTTCTTGTTCCGGTGTCTTTAACGAACCCGCACTGTTCTTGTCCTGTCTCTGGCTTGATTCTACAATTCTATATTCTATTCATCAGAATACGGATCATGAGTTTTGTTACGCGGCTCATTAGGCTGATTTTTCGGTGGAGTTTCTCAGGCATTACTATGAAGATAGATCGGCTGAGATCTTCCGGTATATCGCCACTGTTGTAGGTTTCATTTATTATTTCTGTGATCTTGTTTATATCAAAGTCATATAAGGCTGTCAGCATTTTCGTTACATTTCCGTCTGGCCCTGCCACATTGTTTCTATTCAAGTTAACCAGTGCAGCTTCTACTTTGGTTTTCAGAGTTTAAGATCCGACGGTAGTTATGTGTATTGCTGGTTGTTCTCTTTCATCATAAAAGAATTCTCCAATATATTCATTCCAGCATTGAAGAATTTTTCCTTCTCTAATATGTGCATTGCATCCTTTGATTTTAAGCAGCCTGTTGATATCTTCTGCCCTGTTAATTGCTTTATTTGTGAATATCTCCTTTCCTGGTGGTACTCAATCCTTCTATTTCTGCACATTTTTTTGTTTAGACACTCTTCTTTAGCTTGCCTGCATTTGGTCCTTATTTTACTGTTAAATTCAGTGTCTAGGCACCATAGCGTAGAGCTCATCTGAACAATTACCATGAAAGTACTTATAGAAAAGGCAATCTTACAGCAGTTGGAAAGTGACTGAAGCTGAGATGCCAAATTGGTGTAAATAATATTACTGATTCTTGTTTGGATTTTATCAAGGAGCTTTAGATAAAATAGGAGCACTGGACCATATCTGATAGCAGTATTCTAAGCATGTTCAAATGCTAAACTTATAGATATTAATTATTTATGTAGAAATTCTTATATAAGATTTTCTAAGCGTGGCTTAGGTGTGGTACAAGGTCAAAAATATGGTACACTGTTATTTCGACACCCTCCTTCCTGCTTATTTTGTTTTCCATTTTCTCAACCCACCTGTTTATTCCAACTTTATCTCCCTCCTTTTCTGTTCTGAAAACAAATTAATTTTGAATTAATTTTCTCACCTACCCTTTTATTTCAGACTATATATATGTCTATTACCTAAATGTCTGTTCTCAACAATAACTGTTTCATTTAAACAGGTTTGGACATAACCACTTTTTGGGTGACTTTTTATTTTGTGGAATCTCAAAATTTCTCAGTTCTGCTAGAATCTTTCAAGAACAGGATCATTGTCTAAATATAAGATCAACTTCATCCAAGATTTCTGAAACTTTCAAAAATTAACATCATTTGATTGCAAGCAAAGAGTTTAATAGACATGGATATTACAGATTTTATAAGTACATGGGCTTCCTCCTCTTGAATAAGAAGCACTTCAGCAGTATCAAGTGCCATTTGGATTTTCAGAACACAAGTACCTGTTGAATTTTTGCAGAATCTGCTCCCAGAAAATTGTTTTCTTTTTTATTTAAAAACTTCAAGAAAGTGTTTTTTGCAAAATTGTATGATCCTTAATCCTAAAGGATTTGTATTCTAGAATAAGTGCGGATGTGTTCCATGACCTTAATTGTTGTTTATTGAAGGTTGAAGATTTTTCAAATGGGTTCTGGCCATTCACTCTCTTGAATTGTTGGGGTGCACTGTATGAATTGTCAGTTTTGTCAGATAAAAAAAATATTTAGTTGCATAAATATCAAATAATCATTATCTACCTCCTCATCCATGTATTGTAAAGAGTCAGGTGATTTATGATTGATGCTTACAAAGCTGAAATGTCTTTGTATTTACACCTAACAGGATTCAGAAGGGATTTAAAATAATGATAGGGTGTCTGTAGATATCAAAGATGTAACAAAAATAAATCTAGTGATTTTTTAGTGACCCCCCTCCCCAAAAGAAAAACAAGAAACAGTGGAGTATCAATCAAAAGGACTTTTTTTTTGATAATACCAAATACCTTTCTTTCTGCAAATATGTTTGTTAAACTTTGCCAAATTATTCTTGTAAATAAACAATCTAATAAATAAATAGTGTTTTCTCATTTTTTCTTATCAATTCTTGAGGAAAAAATTAATTCAGATGCTTCTAACCTATATAGTAAATTTATGCGGCAAGAACAAATGAAAGAAATACTAAGAAAATTACTTGTGTTTATTTGAATTTTCTTTATGTTTGTTGACAATTTTCAGGAAAAAAAGAAAATGTATAAATTCACTTACAATTGTTGAGGTTTAGCAAAAAAAAACAAAAAAACAAAAAAAAAAAACAGACAAACAAAACAGTGGTGTATTGATCAAAAGGATTTTTTTTTTTTTTTGTCTTGGCCCTGCTAATACCATATATTCCTCTTTTGGCAGGTATGTTTGTTAAACTTTGCCAAATTATTCTTGTAAATAAACAATCTAATAAGTAGTGTTTTTTCATTTTTCTTATCAATTCTTGAGGAAGAAAACTTAATTCTTTCAACCTATTTAGTAAATTTATGTGCCAAGAATGAATGAAAGACATGCCCAGAAAATTAGTTACTTGTTAAGTTTATTTGACTTTTCTTGTTCTCTTCTTCAGACATTTTTACAAATTTCCGAAGAAAAAAAATTGTTTCATAGTTATTTCTTTATAATATGGAAATAATAAATATTACATTGTTGTTGATTCACATATTTTTACAACCTTGTCAATATAAAATTAATCTTGTAAATAAATAATTTTTAACATTTTTGTTGTCAAATCTAGAAAAAAGAATGTTTCATATGTTTGGGTTTTATTAAAATTCTAAAAATAACTTTTTAAAACAATAAAAATTATGAAAAGAATAAAAAGTAATAACAGTGTCAAAAGAAAAACGACTCTTTTAACCCCTTTGTATTTTTGTCGGTACATTTGTTAAACCTTTTTTTTTTTAATAAAGTTTTAATATTAAGTAAAATTGCAGATGTATAACCAATTTTTCTTTTAAATTATTACTTTTTTTTTTTTTACATGGTCGAAAGCACAAATTGATTCAGTTGTCTTGTTCAAAGATTTTTTTAAAACTCCTCAAGTGTTGAAATTTGGAATCTGCACAGGAACTTCATGGGAAGGAAGAGTTTTCTTGTTTGTTGGTTGTTGGCGATGCCTTTGCACAAAAACTGGTACTCTTTCAATTTTCTAAGAAAGGAAAGAAAATCAATTATATGTATGCAACTACCAAAAAAACAATATGTAAAAAAATATTATTGCAAATGTTTCCAGCCTATTGTCAGTGCAACTAGGACTCAGTGAACTTAAAATTACCATAAATAGACTTTAACTCTTTAAGGGATAATGGACACTAATGCACCCGCAAGTTTCACACACTTACAATCGTGGGGGGCCTGAATGCACCCAAAATCAGATAGTACGGCATTTCAATACTTAGCACTAACAACATCACATAATCAACTCAGTGCCGGAAATCTAAAACTTTTAAAAAGTTGTAGATTTCCAAAACCATGTCTCATAACCAGTAATACTAAGAAGGCTAAAATTGGTATCATTTGAAAGAGAAATCAATTTACTTTCATATAAATTCAACTTGTAATACTTGATTTCCAATGGTTTTTTTAGATATATCAATTGCACTAACATTACATATTCAGGGTTTTCAAGAATTTAGTCAAAACTCCAAAGATTTAACAATTGAAATCTTTGATTAAGAGTTAAGAATCTAATTTTAACACCAGAGAAACATTTAATGGCTAACTTTTTCAAGACAAAACAAAAATCACTTCAAAGAAAAAAAAAAAAAGTAAAATTAAAGCAAAAAAGAAATGAACATATTTTAGAATATTCTTTTAAAATTTCTTTGAATTTTTCTTAGCTAGTGATTCCAAGTTATAAATAAGTATTATTTTAAATTAAAACCCATGGTACAAGACTTCGCTGTTACAAAAAACTTTGAGTGCAGGTTTTTCTTGCTATTTGAAATTATGTAAAGGGAATGAGCAATAATCTTTAATTTATACAGGAAAAGTTTTTGAATATTCCTAAACCACTCAAAAAAAACAAAAACAAAAAAACAAAAACTTTTGTCTTTATCTCAATATGAATAGTCATTTGCTGTAGCCGACATAGAAGGCTTGAAATATTATAACATGTTTGACTGCTCAGTCCCACGTTTTTTATCATACAGTTATTTTGAAGGTGCCTGCTAAATCCTGAAAACCAGCCCATAACCTACATATCCATTCAAAATTCATGCTTTTTCAGTGATCATTGAAGCATTGTTAATCATACTGAAAATGTGAATGTTATTTTATTTTTGGGGTCCAGGAATGCTTAAAATTTTAACTGCTTCTTCACTTACAAAAGGTTTCCTTGAAATACTTTATTGCTAAATAGTGGGTAAATTCAACTTATGATAGAGAAGTTTCTATGATGCATCGTGAATAGGCACTTACATCACTGACCTATGCTAACTATGCAGTAAAGTAATAATCTAGGATATAACATGCATGATACACGCTTAGGCGATGAGTTATCTTTTGATACATGACTGATGAGGCAGATTTTTTCCCCACAGTGGGTTGCCATTTCTTTCTGCCGTAGACCAGTAGACCAAATGATTTTATTTTTATGTTTCTCATGCCTGACTTGTTTCTCCACACTTTTTTTCCATTTCCATCTTTGAGGGAGATGTTATAAATATAGCTTTTTGTACATTCCCATTCTGTGATGATTGGGGTTGTTTTTAAGTACAGGGGGTTCTTGACTTATGACAATTCTGTTAGCATGATTTTTCCATGTAAATCAGAATATACCTACATTTTTTTTGTGAATAAGCATTTTTGTCACTGAGATATGTTAATGTAATATGAAAGTAATAATCTAGGACATAACAAGGCATTTCTATGACATATGTTAACATAATTAGGACTAAAAATAACACAAGAAAGACATAAATCCATATAATGAAATTAAAATAATACATATAATGAAAGAAAATTGTTTTTAAGCTTCTTATTCCTAGTGATGTCACTGGTTCTTGGTAACCAAGATGATGAAGCATAAGATCTTGTCTCTCTTGTAGTACCTAGAAGCAGCAGCAAATCAGGAATTCACCAACTTATAGTTTAACAAGAAAATGTCCTTATCTCTTACACAGAAACTCAACATGTATACACATATGTGCATGTTTTAAGTGACAGTTGAACGACCAAAAGCAAGCAACCTGTCAATGTTTGTCACTGTTTCTCCCTTTTCAGAGCATTTAACAATGTCTAATTTCACTTCCATGTTAATGTCTTACCTTTTCTTCAGAAGAGGTTACATTTATACAGTAAGTCTCTACAAACACAAAGAAAGAGAGTGAATGGCATACAACCAGGAACTGACCTATGCCATCTTATGTTTTTTTTTTTTTGTTTTTTTTTAAGCATTTCACCCCAGGCAAGGTGGGAGTGCTACTAGTGCGCAAGGGGTCACAGAGAATGAAGGTAAGAGAAAAGATTGGGAAAAGATAAAAGGAAGAATGGGGATCATAGAATTAGAAGATAATGATTGATGTTACATTTAAATTAATTTTTGGAGAGTGTAGTTATCGGGGAAGCAAATAAGAGGAAGGGAGTTCCACTGTTGGGAAGTGTGAAGCAGTTGGAATAGAAGAGGTGATTACATTTAACTGCTTCAACAGTAAAAGAGTAGAACTGAGATATCCACCTAGTAGCATGCTTAAATTCATGCAGTCGGGGCCCTGGGAAAAACAGATCATCAGAGCAGTTGCCATGAAAATATCTGTAGAAAAGACAGAGGAAAGCCACACATGAGGAAACGGCATAAGTCGAAACAAGATTAATGGAGATTGTGTCATAATCGTGAATTGTTGTAGGTTAGTATTGTTGTAAACCAGGAACTTCAGTCAGTTATGTGCCATGCGTGATACACGCTTAGGTGATCATGTATCTTTTTGATACATATCTGACGAGGCAGATTTTTTCCCGCAGTAGGTTGCCATTTCTTTCTGCAGTAGACCAGTTGTCATCCAAGGCTATAGAACCTGGTCTGTCCTGCTATTTACCCATAGCTGGTGGGAGAAAAAGGGGATTCGTACCTTTCCCAAGGGTATTAGCACATAAATGAATGTAATGGATTTGAATGGAATTCGAACTCGGCTCTCCAATTCCTCAATCCAAGACACTATCCATTACTCCACTGTGCCTCTTTAATGGGAACTTACTGTACTTATATTTTTGAATAAAAGAGAAAAATTAAAGACTTTTCTGAAATCAAAAGCAATCATTGATACAGCTGGATGAAAACTAATTAGTCCATATTGTACTTACTTCATCAGGTAAGAACCATTGAAGCAATGCCAAATAGATAATATTTATGACGGCCACAATTATCAATAATTTTCCAACAAGAGAGCCAGTTTGATAGAACCTGAAAAAAAAAAAAAAAAAAAAAAGAAAAATAGACAAATAAACTTATTTAGATTATTCACATTCAGATAATTTCCCTCATTTTTATTATCACATTGTTTTGGCCATTGTAACCTCCAGTCTTCAACAAGGTGTTGATCTAGGTAAATCTCAGGGAATTTTGAACTGAAACTGTTATTGAATATTATTTAATTTAAATAAGAACAAGAGGAGATATCCTTAGACATGGTCAGCAGAATGAGAACAATCTACACATGTCGATTTAATAAAGGGTTCAGTTTGAAATTCCCTGATGGTTACATGGATCAATAACAAAGATGAGGACAATAGTGTGAGGGACAATAATATAAATAATAGTGATTCCTAATCATGAAAACTTAGATATAAATTAACTTATTGACTTCATTGAGTAATTGATAATAATTAGAAATAAACTTTGAAACTTGATCATTTTCCTTAGACTTTATTGGTAATATATTTATGTTGTGTATGTATGTATGTATTTTTATTACTTTAATGTTATTTTTAGTGGATACTCATATTTGTGTAGATGCTCTGTTTATTTATTAAATTTATTCTTTTTGTTGAGCTGCCTGAATATTCGAGAAATCTTATTAGAAAAAATATGTACTCTCTGGTAGGATTCAAATCTGTATTTCCCTGGGGGAAGCCATCATTAGATCCAATGTACCTTGGACCTCTCAGCTATATATAACAATTAAGAGGATAGATTCAGAATAATTACAATATTTGCCAAGGATTTACAAACAACAACAAAAAAAATAAAAAAACCTCTGGGAAGGATTTTTTAAAAAATTATTTTGCCTCTATATGGAAATTAAGTTTCCTTTTAAAACTTAAAAAAAAAAAAATTCTTCCTATATTATCAACATTAATGTGTAGTTACATTTTGATATCTAGTACCTTGCTTTAACTGTTTTTTTTTTCACTATAATCACTTATTTTATCACCACTATAAAAAATCTATGACAAAGAACTTTCTATTTACATGTGGACACTATTGTCATCATCTTTGTTGTTATTTGTATAACACTTCATTTGAAAAATATGTCATTGCTCGTCTTCATTTTATGCATATCATTGAATTTCACCCCTAATCTAATTTTCATGGCAACTGCTCTGATGAGCAGTTGCCATGAAACACTGGTTCCTAAACTGCATGAATTTAAGCGTGCTACTAGGTTGGCATTTTGGTCCCAACCTTTCACTGTCAAAATGGCTAAATGCAGTCATCTCTTCTACTCCAATAGCTTCTTATCTCGCACCTCCAGTTAGTGGAACTCCCTTTTTAACACTTGCTTCCCTGATAGCTATAATCTTCAAATATTCAAATGTAATGTCAATCAACATCTTTTGATGCCTTGACCTTGACCCCTGTCCTTCTCTTTATCCTTTTCCCCAAACACTCCTCTTTACTCTTACTCTCTGTAATTCCTTGTGTGCTAGTGGCACTTCTTCCTACTTGGGGTGATTTGCTTACAAAAAAGTTTAGTGTAAGAAATAAAAATCAAATGCTAACATATTTGCCGATTAATGACCAGCAGATTACACAGAATTCCATTTCTCCTCTTAAAGCCATTTTAATGGTTAGATATGAAATTAGATGTTGATAAAATGATTGGTTTGAACTGAATGAAAATCATTGCTCTGAAGACCCCCCCGCCCCGAAATAACAAGATGGCTGCTTACTTTGTTAGTCTCTGGCTAACATCTCGAGGAGGAGTAGCCATGACATTATTGTACACTTTTTCTGTCCTTTCTGCAACTTTCCGCCAGTTGTACATCTTTTTGATCCGTTTGTGAGTTTCAAATGCATCTAAGATTTCTCCAGTTTTGCTAAAATGAAGTGCCTTTTCCAAGCCTTGAAACAATGCTGTAGGTAAAAAAAAAAACATGAGAGAGAGAAATGATCAAAGAGGTAGCACTAATAAAATAAATGAGAGAGAGAAATGATCAAAAAAGCAGCAGTAATAAAAAAAACACAAAAAGAAAAAAGACTGATTTGTTCGGGGTAAGGGAGAAAAGAAGTTAGACTCGATATGAAGTTTTTAGACACAAATGCACCGAGTTGAGATTCTGACCAATCAATCCTATTTAAAATTCAAATGTCAGACTCCACCTCCTTATATACGTTCAACTGAATTCTACATTAATGTAGATAACTATTAGTTCAATAATGAAGTAAAATATATTTGCATAATTACATCGTTGATGAACAAATAAGACAAGCCATTAAGAATATTAACATAAATCTAAAAGAACATAGTACTTCCTCAAATAACCCTAACCATATCAACCTACTATACTGTAATCAAATGCATTCTAACTATAAACAAGATAAAAAATCCTAGAAATTTTTAGAAGTACTAATACCTACCCCATTGATCCCAGTAAAAAAATAAAAGTAATTATATACTATACTAACTTTAACACAACAAACTTAATCATATGCAATAACTCTTCTCTGTCAACTTGTGTGTTGGAAAAGACTAATATTGAGTATCATTTTAAATGCCCTTTGAGAAATTGTATCTCTAACAAAAAACAAAGAGCATATGTTGGCTTGACGAAAACAATATTATCAAGATGTCTTACATTCCACTTATCAGGTACAAGTTCTATCGCACAACATTTAAAGACACATTCTTGTCCACCTTCATAATACAGGAAAATATTTGTTAGCAACACTAATATACTACACCATGAAAATATAAACAAAAACTTCAAATCAAACTATATCAAAAGCAAGCAAGCAACCAACACTGAACAAAATTTGTTATGAGTATAGTAGCAATGTTTTAAAATACATTTGAGTTGACTAATATTTAACACCATTTTGCAATTTACCTTCTCTGATTATTCCCCTTGCATTGGGAATGCTTGTTTACAAAACATTGTAACCACAACAGTTAATTTTAAAATAATTATAGCAGAGCGCGTTCACACACATTTGCAAAAATTACCATTACAAGAATTACAGTAACATTAAGTTAATCTTTGCAATTCACCCCTGAGGATGATCTTGGAGATTAAAAGTACTTGGCTTAACAAAAAATATGATGCCTTCCTTGATGAATTTCAATTTAACATCAAGAAGATAATCAGAAAACTAGAAGATTATTATAAAAATGAATAGACATATGTCTATATTCTTCAATGAAATATGCTTGAATGAATATATGCTGCCTAACTGTACATATTTTAAATTACATGATCCAGCAGCTTATCGTGATACCAACACTTGGCAACTTAAGCATGACTTTGTGAAAAGTCAAATCATAATTGCAAATGATAACTTAAAGACTCTCAATAGAAAAGCATAGGATGTTCACAATAAACTTAAACTCTTAACAACTCCTGAAAAGTTTAATGAAATTCAACAGACTTGCAGAAATTGCCAATAAATCTGAAATTCAACACAATCTGAATATTAAAAAAAAACTTAATACACTATATAAAGAATCTATCCATCTTCCAAATAATAAAGATAAATTCATGAATATCTCTAACTATAAATTAACCAACCACCAAAAGGAATTGCTCAACTATGGACCTAACTGCCATCTTTACAAACAATACAATAGATTGGACAAAAAACTGAAATTGAAATGTTATATCAAAATATTCAAAAACTTAAAGAACAATGGTTAATTAAAACACATCCAGAAATTTGTGATCTACTAAAAGCTGTAACAATAAAAGACAGACACAACAAAGGAAAAAACTCTCCAAAGCTCATATGAAAACAATTAAAAATCACTGCCAAGAAACTACATAACAAGACTGAGATAACTATTAAAAAAAGAAGATAAAACCAATACCTTTGTTGTATTAAATAAATTTGATTATAATTTGAAATTACAGAAAAATACTCAACTATCATATAAAAAAAAAAATCAACAAAAATCCTACTAATCATCTGAAATTAAAAATGAATAAACTGATCACAGCCAACAACACAGAACAAGACAACTTAAAACTCCCCAAAATAACCGGAGACTACAAATGAGGATACATGTATGGAACTATAAAAATACCTAACTTCCAACTCCATCCCATTATATCCCAAATACCCACTCTGGTTTATCAATTAACCAAAATCATCAACCAACTCATTACACCATACATACCTAGTAAATACAGTATTAAATCAAATCAACTAATCCAAACCTTAAAATCACAAAAAACTAAATGAAATCATAGCCTCACTTGATGCTGAAAGTTTATTTACCAATGTTACAGTAAGAGAAATGATTGATATAATTATAAAGAATATTTACAGCAATCCATCTCTTCCTCCACTAAATATTAAACTCAATATATCATGGATACTTTGGACTTGTACCACTCAGGTTCTCTTCTATGAACTTCAAAATAATATTTACATACAACATGATGATGTTTCCATGGGTTCAGTTCTAGACCCAACATTTAGTAACTTCTACATGGTTAACCTTGAAAATAAGATATTTAACACCATTAAAATTGCCTCCATCAACCTAAGATATGTAGATGATATTCTCATTTTAGTTAAAAACATAAATGAAATACATGAACTACAAGAAAAATTTAAAAAAATTTCGACTCTTAAGTTCACACATGAACTTAACAATAATAATAAAGTCATTTTCCTTGGTGTATTGAGAGACACTAATAATAATAATAATACTTTTACTACCTCCCCATAAAAAAAAAAAAACAAGTAGCATAAACATGTGCATGTTAAACTATGAAAGTGAATAGCTTGACTATTAAAAATAGCTATTATTAAAAATTTAATAAACTGTGGAAAAGTTAACTGTTCCATAAAAACAATTTTCTATATTGAATTAAAAAAAAACATTAAAAAGACTTATCATTTATGAACAAACTAACAGTAGAGCCCGGCGTTGCCCGGGGATGTAACAGTAAGAGATAGATCAAGTATCAACCATCATAAAGACTGAAAAATAAAATTGACAAAGATTATTGTTTAAGGTTGACGGACACGCATGTCTTATTTATTTTTTTTTGTTTTGTTTTTTTTACGAATTGGTCAAACCCAAACTCAAACAAAAACATTGTTTACAATCGTTATGAGTCTATCGATTGATGAATAGAATTTTATTATAAACAATTGTCTTGTAAATGGAATTTTTAAAGCATTCTGAATGTAAAAATAAAGAAAAAAATGTGCAAGACAATAAGAAACACTACCTGCCAAAAAAAAAAAGTGAAGTTTTGTTGAAATCGGTTGAAAAATGTAGGTAGCCCTTCTGTAATCTTTTAGTTTTACAATTTATGATTTTTACTTATTGAATACAGTAAAAAAAATTGCATATTTTGCTTGTGGTGATTCATAATTAGAATTCTGATTTGAATATATTTTCCACTCGTTTCTAATACAAAAAATGTTAACTTTATTTGGGTTTATTAATTTATTACAAGTACTGTGTTCTTTCCTTAATAATTATCATCTTCGAAATATTGTTGTTTTTTGTCTATCAGATTTCTTACGTCGGCATTTTTAAATTATTTCTTAATACTTTCTTTTAAATATTGAATTAATTTCAAATAGAACCAATGCCTTATTGATCTGCCTTGTAACAAATTGCAAAGGGAATTGTAAAAACGGCCCTAAAGTACGTGGAATTATCTTTCCCTAAAGATAAAGAATTATCCGATTTTTTCGATTCGCATAATCAGTAGAGATCGTTAGATTATTGTTTAGGTTGACGGACACGCATTTCTTAGTTTTTTTTTTTTTTTACGAATTGGTCAAACCCAAACTCAAACAAAAACATTGTTTTCAATCGTTATGAGTCTCCTGATTGAATTTTATTATAAATAATTGTCTTATAAATGGAATTTTTAAAGCATTCTGAATGTTAAAAATAAAGAAAAAAGTGTGCAAGACAATAAGAAACACTACCTGCCAAAAAAAAAAGTGGATGTTTGTTTTATCGGCTGAAAAATGTAAGAAATCCGATCCCATATATAAAGGAACAAACACACACAAACAACCTGGGTTTTTTAACCCGATGTGAGATGTCCCCTTTTCATTCTCACGATGTGTCTTACTTAATCGTGTTTTCAAATTGATTTTGTTAAAAAACAATTGTGTTTTTACCATTTTCGGCGCTGTTAGAACCACCACAAGGTAATTTTATGTAGTCCTGTGAAGTTTTGTTGAAATCGGCTAAAAAGTGTAGGAAATCCGATCCAATATATAAACATTACAGACACACACACACACACACACACACACACAATCTGCGTTTTATAATAAGTAAGATTAGACAAGCGATTAGAAATATTAATATAAATAAAAAAGAACATAATGCTTCCTCAAATAACCCTAAACATATCAACCTACTATACTGTAATCAAATGTATTCTAAATATAAAAAAGATAAAAAAAAATCTTAAAAAATCTAATATATTCCTTACTGATCCCAGTAAAAAAATAAAACTAATTATATATTAAACTAACTTTAACACAACCAACTTAATCATATGCAGTAACTCTTCTCTATCAACTTGTGTTTTGAAAAAGACCAACATTGTATATCAGTTCTTTGTGAGATTGTATCTCTGACAAAAAAGTAAGTACATATTTTGGTTTGACGACCACAACATTATCAAGACAACTTTCACTCCATTTATTGGATACAACTATTGCACAACATTTAAAGACACATTCCTGTCCATAATACAGGAAAATATTTGTTAACAAGGCCAATATAATACGCCATGAAAATAAACAAAAATAAAATTCTTGAGGCCCTCTATATCAAAAGCAACCGACCAACACTGAGCAAAACTTATTACAAGTGTAACAGGCATGTGTTGAAGTGCATTTAGAAAACATTAATTTCATTTGCATTCCTACCAACTTTATCATATATATATTTCTGGTTAACTCCCTTACATTGGGACGTGTGTTTTGCTAAAACTTCCATACCTACAACAGATAAATTTAAATTTTAAAATAATTATAACAGAGTGCTTTCACTTGTGTTTTTAAAAATCACACTCACAATGATCATATTATAATAAGTTTGTCCTTGTAATTCACCCGAGGATGAGTTCGAAGGAGATTGAAAGTGCTTGGGTAAGAAAAATCTACGGCGCTTTCCTTGAGGAATTCCATCTTAACACCAAGAAACTGATTCTGGAACTAGAAAGGATTATTATAAAAATAGACATGTGTATATTATTCAATGAAACATGTTTGAATGAAGATATGCTGCCCCCCCTCTCTCTCTCTCTATATATATATATATATATATATATATATATATATAATCTGTTGGTATAATCCAGGCAAGTCCTATTAACACAACATAGAATTTGAAATATGTTAAAATCGACTCACAAAAGAGTGCTCAATGTTTATTTTCATTAAACAGAGCAAATTTTCTTTACAACTGGAATTAAGATACCTTTAGATAATGACTATTTTCACCTATGAATTTTTTATTTTAAAGAATTACAGGAATTATATTATGGAGGTAGGAGAGCCTAGGTAGGAGGAGAGAGGTGGAACCAATGAGCTGACCTATATATATATATATATATATATATATATATATATATATATATTAGTTGATTAAATAATGCTCTAATTTGAGATCAATATTCTATCCAATAAGTCTCACAGAAACCTTAGATATTTTTATTTTTGCTAACAATTTGATTTCAATAGTTTTGTCCAAGCCTAAAGAATTAATATTCAATGAGTTTTTTTTCTATTATCTTCATTAAAATAATGCAAACCTTACTCCACAAATATAGTAGAAAACTAATCACAAAAGCTAAGCCTTTTCAGGAGAAAAAACATTGCATAGACAACATACCAAGCAGCTGTAGCAGAAGATACAAAAGTGAAACCGGCTGCTCCTTTGTGAGTTAAAGTTATTGTTCAAAGATAATCATGGAAGCTCGCATATGCAAAGAAAGCAAATGCTTATCTCCTGAAACAGAATCTCCATAACCAAGAAAGAATTTCTACTGACAAATACAGCACATGAAAACTTTTTAGACATGAATATCAAATAGTCTCACCTTGAACACTTGGTTCACATAAAATGATGAGATCTTCAGGTAAAACTTCTGGGATCCCTCCCACCTTGGTAGACACCACTTGTAACCTAAGATAGAAAATAAGAAAATATAATTTTTAATGTTTCAGCTATAAAAAAAAAAAAAAAAAAAAGCCTGAAGTTACAAAGATGCTTTTCATGAAATCTAAGTTTATTTTAATCTGAATATAGGTAGACTAACCACTGAATCTGGTGTCAACCTATTATGTCCCATATAGTTACTGCTAATACACTCCTTATATTAGAACCTACACATGTATTGGTCCTTTACTATAATCCAGCTAGCACCTATTCAGTAAACTGAAACATATATTCACGATGTTGCATTTCCATCAGTGTAATTACTTACAATATCATACAGGCATAGGTTCTAAAATAAGAGGTGTATCAACAGAGCTCAGACACCATATTAATATACTGTATATCCTCTTTGGGTGTTTACACAGGCCTGTATTTTCATGTTCATATAAATGCACAGATGGTGAATACCATTCTGTGATACATTATTCCATGCCTCTTACAGCTGTTGATACAATATAGCAAAAGTTGTAGGTGGGGTAACAAAGTGAGTCAGATGTTGTCCCATCATGTACTATACATGTTGAGTAGAATAGGCATCTTGTGGGCAGGCATTATCCTGCTGGAACAACAAATCATCTTCATGTTGCAGGAGTAGCAGCAGAACAGGTTGAACCGAGTTCTGGATATATATGGTGCTGTTTGTTTCCGAAAAGTTAAGTAATGCTGACCCAGGTCAGTACCTAGACGGGCAACTGTTTGGGAATATCAGATAATGTAAGCTTGGATGTGCAGATGGTGTATGTTTGTTTAGTGGCATATCAAATCCTTATGGGTCATTTAATGCTGAAATTTAATTTTCTTGGGAGCATTAGTAATTTCTTTGACAAAAAATGTATTGCTGGCAATTTTTTTTACTGTGAAAATGTATTACTGGTATTTTTGCTATAAAAATGTTTATACTTTCATAGTGTTTTGACCCCAGTTTGGAGGTTAACAATTTCCCTATAGCTGGGACTCTAAACACATGCTACCACCCTGGGTCAGAGTGTACCTGAAAACAAAAGTAATTAACAGGTGATTCCACACTCCTCAAAACCTTCAGATTATAGGCCTTGCTGCTGGATATAGTTTATCGTCATGCCTAGGACAGGTAAATGGTGTAATGGATAATGGCTCAAAATTCTTACTCAGAGAGCTGAGTTCCAATTTCCATAAGGGTTTGTTATATTTACTTAAATGCAAATATCCTTGGGAAAGGTATGAATCCACTTTACTTTGTATTCATCAAGTTTGGGGCCTTTTTCATCATGCTATGCTCTTTTTTAGTGAAAAAGTGGGGGTAGGTACTTAAAGCTGTTGTTATAGATGTTCATGCTAATTTATGGAATCTTATGCCCTGTTAGTAAAAATTTACTTGCAACTGAAACTTACCCACAAGAAACAGCTTCTACCATTGCTATGCAAAATGCTTCTGTTAGTGAAGTGTTCAGTAATATATCACCCTTTACCAAAACCTGTGAAAATATTATTAATAATTAAGCAAAGCTTCAGTTCAAAATGAACAGAGATTTATTAATAGATGTTGCAGAAACAGATTTGGAGATGAGTAAAAAAGATAAGGAAATTAGAGCAAGTATTTACATAAAATAAAAGATAATTGTAAATCTGGCATTTAATGTTCAAATAGTTCATGAACCAAGTTGTTGCTTTGTGAATTATAATCTCACCAGGTTTTCTTTTACTTAAGCAAATGTTTTTTTAAAATTATTTTCTGTCTAATAAACACAGATCTTTATAAGTGAAAAAAAAATAATGGCAGTATGATATTTAGCAACCAGTTCTGTTTATAGATTTGAGAAGAGTAATTATTAGTAATGGATAGCGGCTTGGATTGCAGAATCGGAAAGCCGAGTTTGAATTCAAGTCGAATCCATTACATTCACTTACGTATCAATACCCTTGGGAAAAGTATGAATCCTCTTCTTCTCCCCCACCCCAACTATGGGTAAGTAGCAGGACAGATAGGATTCTATAGCCCTGAATGGCAACCTACAGCAGGAAGAAATCTTCCTTGTCAGTCATGTATTGAAAAATACATGATCACCTAAGTGTGTATCACATATGACACATAACTCACTGAATTATCATTTGAAGTGTTGCTTGGACTAATGAATTATTTTTTTTGCATTTTCTTGTTGTTAGTGCATATCAGCTGGTATGTTTGACAACCTTTTTCAGGTGTACGATCTCTAAAGTAAGAGGAGGGGGTCACTTTCCTAAAGAGATTGATGGTGAACAGAAAAAAATAAAACAAAGCTTGTTAACCAGCACACGATCCATGCAAATCAGTGTAACAAAAGGGATTACATATTTATATATAGTTATAATCTTCAACAATCTCTCCTGGCAAAGAAATCCCTACTGGGTTGTTCAATAAATAATGTATATTAGACTGAATTTTCAAACTGATTCAGTCTTCCTTATCAAATTGTGAAATGAAAGTTGCTGTCACATATGGTCTGGTGCTCGTGCTATATATTTAGAAATCCTTGATAAAATCCAAAGAATCTGCAATAGCAATGGTCTTAATCTGGCATCTCAGCTTCAGTCATTTTACCACCACTGTAATGTATTTTCCTTCTGCTTTTTCTATAAATAATTTTGTGGCAATTGTTCAGATAAACTTTCCTCTATAGTACCTGAACTCTATGAATTTAAGTACTAGATTGGTGGCAAGATCTGATTGTTTTACAGTTGAAATGTCTAGATGTGATCGTAAATTCTATGCCAACAGTTTTTCTTGCACCTCTCTCTTTGGGCTTCTTGCTTTCAAGTTAACTTTGATCTTCAAATAATTAAATACAATGTCAATCATTATCTTCAGTCTTCTTAATTTTTCTTCTTTTGTTGTACTTGTTCCTTAATAATGTTTTTCTTATATTCTTTCAAACTCAGTAACCCTCCTGCGTGCTTTGTTGCCTTGCTTAGGGGTGAAAAAGATATATATATATATATATATATATAATAGATATTTTCAATTTTTTAACTCTTCAGCAATGTTTCCTTTCTATTTATGGTGTTGAACTTTAGAATTAAAAAATTGAATGTTACCTTATATTAATTAGAATGCAAAAAAAAAAAAAAAAAAAAATGGTCTGTTTGGTTTAAAAAATAGAGCTTAATTTCCCTATTTAAATAGTAACCAAATGCAAATGACCCTTTAATAGATGTCTATTCCCATCTATTTAAATAACAGAAACGAATGAACACTTCCCTTTAATAGATGGCTCTTTCCCATCCCTTTAAACAATAAAAATGAATGAACACATCCCTTTAATAGATGGCTCTTTCGCATCTCTGTTAATAATAGAAACAAATAAACACGTCCTTATAACAGATGTTTTTTCCCTACCTGTTTAATTAACAGAAACAAATGAATATATCTCTTTAATATTTAAGAGATTTCTTTTTCCTGTCTAATGTTTCATTTACTAAATAAATTATCAGGTGAGGTGAATAATCAATTCAAAAAGTGCCAAGAAATATGTTGCTCTTACAATAGCAGTTACTTACGTCTCTCATTTCACTGTGTTTCAAAGACCCTAACATTTTCACTCTGTCATGAAGATGATACGATTCTCTCACTTCCTCAAGAACAATACGTTTGGGACCATCTCCACCTGAAATAAAAAAATTTAATAGTAGACAGTTATAATGGTCATTACGGAATGTGTAATAATTGATTCTATTAATCTACTAGCAGTAGAGCCCAGCGTTGCCCGGGGATGTAACAATAAGAGATAAGTATCGACCATCATAAAGACTGAAAAACAAAATTAACAAAGATTATTGTTTAAAGTTGACGGACACGCATGTCTTAATTAGTTTTTTTTTTGTTTTTTTTTACGAATTGGTCAAACCCAAACAAAAACATTGTTTTCAATCGTTATGAGTCTACTGATTGAATAGAATTTTATTATAAACAATTGTCTTGTAAATAGAATTTTTAAAGCATTCTGAATGTAAAAATAAAGAAAAAGTGTGCAAGACAATAAGAAACACTACCTGTCAGAAAAAAAAAGTGAAGTTTTGTTGAAATCGGTTGAAAAATGTAGGAAATCTGAACCCATATATAAACGAACACACAGACACACAAACAATCTGGGTTTTATAATAAGTATAACTCGATATGAGTTGTCCCCTTTTCATTCTGGCAACAGCGATGCCTCTTAATCATGTTTTCAAATTGATTTTGTGCAAAAACAATTGTGTTTTTTCCAATTTTTACGCTGTCAGAACCACCGCAAGGTAATTTTACGTAGTCCTGTGAAGTTTTGTTGAAATCGGTTGAAAAATGTAGGAAATTCGATCCAATATATAAACGGACACACACAGACACACAACCTGGGTTTTATAATAAGTATGATGACAGTGTATCAGTTGGTACCTGATCTAAAGATATGGAACTGAAATTCTGAAAAGTGAAAATCTCCAAAACCTAAGAGTTCTATTTGTACTCAAACATGACCCAACCTGACCCCTACTAATCAGGCATTTATGTCTGAACATGCCTAATGACTTGTTGTTCACGGACTTATTGTTTTATGTTTTTGAGAACAGTAATGATATTTTACTTAAAAAAGTATACTATAAATTTTAAGGTTTCTCTTTGCACATTTTATCATTATACAAATAAACTGTAAAATTATTCATAGTTTTTATTTATGGTCCTATATATGAATATTCATGAGGTTCATTGTAAACATATTAATGTGTTTTTTATTTGTTTGTTCATTTTGTCTATATTCTTATACTTTCAGAGCAAAGGTATGTTATTTTAGATTTATAGTTTGTAGATCATAAAAGATATTGTTGGTAATTTTTCTATTATTTTTCTATTTCCTTTAGTGTTGCATTGATTGTCATTTTGCTATAGAAATGTATTGTTGCTCATTTTATTATAAAATTGTACTGATTTTTGTTTGGAAGTTCACTACTTGCCTATAGCTGGGACCCTAGCAGGTGCAACCACCACGGGTCAGAGTGGACCTGGGAACAATAGCAATTAAGAGGTGGTTCCAGGCTCCTCAAAACCTCCAATCTCCTGATCAGACCAGATGTAGCTTATCATCATACCCAGGAAGATATTAATGTGTTTGTTATAAGTACTGGCTAGTTCCAAAATATATCCATGAAAGTAGAAAAAATTTATTGTTTGGTCATATTTTGGAAGCGGGCATTAAGCTAAGAACATTTCAGTACCTCACCTCAGATACACTTCTATGTGTCATGTCCATTCAGGATATAGTCAGTCATGGATCTCCACAACTTCCTATGCTTGTGGCCCTTAACCAACCCCCATTCTGCCACCCATTCACACAAGCTCATCAAGTAGGTGGCTTGTTGCCTTCTATCTCTCTCTTGCTCTAAATATGCTTGAGAGTGTTAATTTTTTTCAAGCTTTCTTTCCTCCTGTGTCCAAGGAATTTCAACTATCTTTTCCTAATTCTGAGTATAAGTGTAGTCAGTTTCTTTGTGACTGGAATAAAGTTCCCTTATCCATTTTGCTTACCAATCAGTGTAGCATAAGTCAAATACTCCAACACACGTCTTCTGTTTGCTACCACAGTTGTACTGCTCTGTCACCTTGTCAAGTTATGCACCTCAGGCGGGATCATATTGATGCACTTTGGTGATTACTTTGGCCATCATCTGCTTGAGAGTGATGTCATTCACTGTGTCATCCAAACCCTTTGCTACTCCAGTTGCTGCACAAAGCCACCCACAAACAGGAAAGTGTTGTACCAACTTCACGAAATTGGAAAAGACATTATGGCATGTAATTATGGCAGGGAATTCTGGAACCGCACTCTCTCGCTCCTGCTGTAGAGTGTCATGCTTCTCTTAGACTTCAAGGCCCAATAGAGCCCCATATTTCAGGAGCTTGGGGTCCTTACTGGTCAACCCAAAGGATTCTAGTTTCTCCTTGACCTCATCTGCAGACATTATGCTTTCATTTGCATATACATCATCAATATAAGATGAGGTTGCTCTCATTGTCACATCCTCCTGAGACAACACAGTTTTGATGATCGCTTTCATAATTCCTTTGATCATAATCGATTGAAATATCAACAGTGACGTATACACGTGCATTTGGAGATATGCCCTCCATAGATCAAGCAAGACCATGTTAACACCTTTCTGGCATCACTACTGTAATTTGGCAGCACATGTTAGCAGTGAAGGCATCCATGTGGTGGTTCAATTCCTAGTATGCTAAAACTGAGTGCACCTTGTCTTTGTTGGGCTGTGTAACAGCCATCGGTGGGATTAGACACTTGGAGAGGTCCTAGTTTTTCCTGGGGATATGGTATAAGCCAGCTGCTAGCAATCCATATTTGCAACTCCTCTTCATATACAGTCCTAATTTTTTTAGATATTACTTATTCTGGAACTGCATTCTATAACGTCTCTGATACTTTGTTCAAGGCCCACTTCCACCTTGTAGTCCAGGCTTTCTCTTTGTAGTCAAAAGTAGCAGCAAAGTCAGGTTCTTCAATAGAGATTGCTGCACACAATTCTTTCTTTCTGCCAAGCTGCACATTACCAGGCATTGATCCCAATCATCCAAGTGTTTTTTCTTGCACAACCAGAATGCCGACTTCAACATGGTTACCTTGTTCTGTGTGAATTGTGACAACTTCAGCTCTACGGTATGCTCAAGACACATTACCAATTGTTACAATGTCTATGCGTTGCCTCCTCTATGATCAACAGCGATGTGCACTAATTATTGACTGGGAACATCTGGTGTCAACAAGTGTTGAACACTGTTCACCATCTACCTGGACGTCAACTACACATAATGGTAATACCGGGGACAAGTTCGGTGATATCTTGTCCCTGGATCAATTTCCCTTAACAATTATGTGCCACATGACCCAGTTTATTACAGTGATAGCACCTCAACTTGATCCCCAACTTGTGCTCAACCTTTAGTTGGTGCGCAATAAAATGTTGATATGCCACAAACAGGTCTGTTCCCAAAGACATATAAAGAACCCATTTTATCTCAGTAAAGTCGTTTTTTTCTTCCTCTTTAAGCTTCTGGTACATGGCGTAATCACCCACCCCCAGCCTCAAAGGAATGACTATTGTTGGCTATTTCAGTTTGAATAGTCAGCAAATGAGCTCAACAACAGATAAGCCATTGGATGAACCATAGAACTCTGGTATCAACTTCAAGTTGAATCAGTCCATAAGTGTTAAGGGCTGAAATAGCTTGTTTCTTTCTGCTTGGAATAAAGTTCCCTAATCTGTTTCATTCACCAAACAGCATAGCATAAGTCAAAAAATCTAGCATACGTGTCTTCTGTTCACTTCCACAGTAACCCTGGTCTGTCACCTCGTCAAGCACTTTTTGTAGCTTGAGTGACAGGTCAAATTTGCATAAATGCAAAAAAAAAAAAAAAAAAAAAGAAGTCTCGTGAAAGTAGCCAACTCTGAGATCTATCGTTTCTTAAATATACAACTCATAAAGCCACTATTTTCTTTTTGGGACACTTTACCCACGAGACATGTCCAAATCTGCTTTCTACCAGGAGGTAAGACATTTTCTCTCGTATTACAATAAGTGTTCTTTCCATAACCATTTTTTAAGACTTCCTTGTTGCTTACTCACTACATCCATGGAATTTTCAGTATCCTTCTGTAGAATCACGTTTCTGCTGCCACCAGTTTTCTCCATATGCACTACCTTTCCAAAATTTCCAAAAATTTGAATTCTAAAACATTTCTGATACCAAGGATTTGGTGAGAAAAACTTATTCATGGTGGGCCACAACATTTTTGGCCCTGTGTAAAGTGGTTTGTATCACAATAACAGCTTCAGTTTCACAGTGACAATATAAATGATAATCATACATGCGCATGTTATTTGTACATTTATTTTGCTTATTAGACAAATTTTGTAAACAGGCTGTCCGAATATATGAGAAATTTGTTTAATATTTAATACATTTGCTACTAGTAATGAGATTTGTACACCTGAGAAGAAATGTTTTACAATAGTAAGAAGTTTAAATTAAAGTGCAGAAATGACATCCTTTGTACAGACAGGCACCAAGATTGCTAGATCAGTTTACACTGTGATGATGATGATTGAACATTAACAACAACAAAGTGTGGGACATAGTGATCCAGGGTACCCAATGGTAGTACATAACATGATATATTGATTTTAGTCAGTTTTCTGAGAACTGTGGTTTGTTATTAAATATACATGGTTTGCATTTTTATTGTCTTTATTATAATTTCGCATAGATTACTATTTAGTACAATATGTAATCAAAAAATACCAAAATGTATTAAAGGATATTTTTAAAGTTTGTTGTACTTTATTTGAAAATGAATAATTATTAAAATAAAATTAAGCAGTTTTTGGAGTTGGTTTTCTGTAGGCTTTATGTAATTTAAATATGTGAACAGTGGGGATTATTGTCTCTTCTAGACAAGAACTTGGAATTGCCCATATTCAGTTTATATGATTATTTAAACCATTGACCACTACGATATACGATTTTACATTCTCTTTGTGCATAAGCTTGACTGTTTCTTCAATTTTAAGTCTGCACAAGGGAACTAACTCCTAAAATGTTTAAATTTTTAGGCGAAACAGTTATTTTCCTTGGATTTTCAGCACTGATATCGTCGCTTTAATTAACGAGATCTAAAATCACAAAACTTGTCTCATGCATTTTTATATGCATAAAACTATGTTAAGAGGGTAGATATATACTTCATGTTAGAATACTGGATTGAAAGCAATATAGGATATAGTTTTATTTCTGGATTACATTTAGAATTGCCAAGTGTCCTTTATTTAACACTTTCTCTCCTTGGATTTGGAAAATAAAAAAAAAAAAAATGTGATTTTCAATTATATTCTGTATATATTTTTCTTTTGTGTGCCGTGTCCCTTCAGAACATGGACAATCATGGCTCTCCACAATTTTTTGTTTTTTGTAGCTTTAAATAAAATTTGTCATTTCACTATCTCTTCCAGTCCCTGTTCTGACAAATATTTAGACAAGCTCATTAAGTTGGTCATGCACTGCTTTCCTGTCCCTCTTGCCTTTGCTATGTTAAGCCCTCTTTCCTCATTATATGCCCTAGAAATTTCAATAAGTGACCTTTTGTGTTCATTTTCTCTAAAACTTCATCAATTCTCGTATGTTCAGTTCATGGAAATTCTCAACATCCTCTGTTGCTGTTATTCATCTATAATGCAATTGTCCAGTATTCATTGCCAAAGAGGAAGAACTGTGTATATACAGGATTTAAATTAAAAATTACTATTTACATATTTTTCTTTATATCCTTTCCTATAACTTGACAGAGCTGGCAGCCTTAATTACATTGGTGTTTAACAATAGAGAAGAAATTATTAATGAATATTGCCATTATTAATTTCTTTAACTTACCTATCAAGAAGTTTACCTCAGGGTAACGTCTGCACACCAAAGGAATGATACCAGCTAAAAGATCCATACCTTTTCTGTACACAAGTCGACTAACCACAACAACAGTGACTGAGAAAAGAAAAAAAAACAATGAGATAGATGAGTTTATTTGGTTTGTCATGTGTGACAAAAGTCCAAGAATGATGTAAAGCTTCATTTATTGCTGTCAGAGGTTAAAGCCAGATAGAATGGAAAGAAAGAATTGTAAAACATTTGCCTCTTCAATCTTCCTAGACAGACCTGTAAAGACATTTAGTTGCTTATTAAAGTAATAACCAGTATCTCTTTCGTACAAATTTCCTAATTTTTATATTTTTATTTTTACTAAGTTTACAGGCAGCAGCAACCAAAATATACCCTAAAAAATAAAACAAAAAAAAATCATCACCAAAGGACATTTATTAACATCTTCATTATTTTACTTGTTAAACATCAGACAATGTTAATAATAGTGTAATGTCATCCATCTTGAAATGTGTGTTTCATCTTTATTTTGTCAAACTGATGAAACTAATACCTGCTTTGCATAATTAATCTTTGGCAAAACTGCATTGTTCTATTCTTGGTTTATACATGTCAGAAAAGGAAAAAAAATGGTTGTTTTTGAAGGCCAAAAATTAGCCAAAGACATAACATAACTATCCAAAGACATAACAGATATTAAGTAAAAACCAATCATATTCCTTTAAGAAAGTTTTGCTTACTTTTTGTAGGGTTTCTCTTTGATGGATCTGGAACAAATATGGTGGTATCTACAGCATTTGGGATGACAGAAACCATTTCTGGTTTAATGGACGACCTTAGCACTGTATTCTCTTTACTATAAAAAATAAAAAATAATTCAGCATTATAGACCAACATTTTTTGTAATCATTTCAACTCAAGCAAGGCAATAAGACAAGAGTTTACTAAGCATCAGAGAATATGAGGAACACAAATACTATTAAAGAGATAGAACAATAAAAGAACAGGAATTAAGAAGACAATAGATAATGACTGATATTGTATTTAAATTTCTGAAAATGCCAGGCACACCTTGGAGTACCATAACTGACTTGACTGAGGACTACAAGAAGAAGACGCATGAGTCGTTTGGGGTCTTTTCTTGGGCTAGAGACCAACAAAAGTGCGATGGATAAATTGTCGTCTAAATTACACAGAAATGAAAATAACATTGACATCTCATTTTAACAGACATATTTACCAAAATTACACAAAAATATCTTAAAATACTAAAGAGTAAATTTATTCAATAATGCATGGCATCCATAGGACTTCAGAATCTCCTGCAACTCTTCTGGGCGGTCTCCTTATTTAAGTTGGTGAATGCTGCCATAATCTTTGCCTTCAGTTCATCTTTGATGTTAAAAGGAGTTTTATTGGTCTCTGGCTCAACTGCACCCCATACATAATAATCAAGGAGGTTACAGTCAGGGGAGTTGGGTGACCAGATGCAGGGGGTGATGTGGTTGCAGAAATTCTCTGACAGCCATGACTGGGTTCTTCTGCTTGTGTGGCATGGTGCAGAGTCCTGTTGCCAGACATAGGGTCTTCCAACAGCCACCCTCTTGGCAACACTACCTCCACAAGAGACTTGATGCATGCCTCTGTGCTGAGTCTGAGGTCCTGTGGGAAGATGAATGGAGGCACAATGTCACCATCACTAGTGATCACTCCAAACACCATGATGTTGATTGGATATATCAACCAACTCTTTCTGAATCCTCTACACTGTTCTCAGATTGACACCCAAACACTGAAATATTTGTATTGGAATCCCAAGCAGCACAGCATGCTGTTTCCCAATTTTGGTAGAGTGAATTCTGTCATCGTGCTCTTTTTCTCACAGGTGGTGCCCAACTGACCCTACTTTACTGTGTAATTGACAAATTCAAAAACAAACAATATCCATGTATGAAATTAAAAATATAAAATGGCAACAATTTACCCATTGCACCCTGTATAATATTCAAAAATTTAAATGCAACATCAAGCGAAATTTTCTGCCTTCCTGAATCCTGTTCTTTTATTGTCCTTTCTCCTCATTAAAGTCTTTCTCTTTCACTCCCAGTTACCTCATGCATCTTAGTAGCATTCTCACCTTGCTTAGAGTGAAATGATTTAAACAAAAAAAGAAAATTATATTAGTAAAATGCAACTGCAAAATTATTTAAATATTTCCTCAGTTTTTTTTTTGACAACATGCATTCACTGTATTTGAATTTCATAGTATGGTAACAACAAAAACAACCTAACTAATACACCTAAATAATGCAGAGTGCTAAAGGTTAACTATTACTGCAATATAAATTTTTAAATGCTGGTGGGGTGCTATATGTTATCAAATATGGTACTATCCATCTTTCATCTGTGTAAAGATAGTCTTCTAATTGCTAATGGAAGTCTCTTACCTTGTATGAGACACACAAATGGTATGATTGCAGTCTGCCAAAGATACTGTAAGGACCTTGTTAGTCAGAATGGAACTAGCATCGGCAAAACCAAACAAAGAATGGTCAGTGAAAATGGACCTCAGGCCCATAGTCCGAGCATGAAACATTGCTTCATGGGCCAATGTGGAAAAAGCCTGCAGGGAAAGAAAAACATGTATAAGTAGAAAATTCCATTAAAAAAAGAAAAAATGAAAAGTAAAGAAACATGCAAATTTGAGTAGAAAACTCATGTCATTTATCAGAGCAGAGTGCAATAAGAAAACACCTATCAAACTACAATCTATAAGAATCAGAATAAGTACTGGTTGAAAACATGAGGGTTTTATGTAAATCAAATTACTGAAAACAGCTCATTATAAGAGAAGTCTTGTATATCAAACATCTCTCTCCCACCATCAACCTCAACTTGTTTAACAATGGGAATGGCATGCTGGAAGTCTTTTGAAAGTATTCAAAAACACACAAATAATACATGTCACACAGTCAAAATATGAAAAGAAACTAACAACACCATAAACAAAACCCCTTGAAAATGGTTAGGGAAGTGGCTGAAAGCACTTGGGACCATGAACGATACGGACAGTTTTTGTACCCCCTCATTCCCACCAAACAGAAAAATGTAAGAATGCTGGAAAAACTAAATAAAAATATTAATAAAGTTTTCCTTGTCTATCACATTTAACAAAAGATGTTTAAAAGAAAGGTTGCTTCCCAAATATCTCATGATCACAAATCCCATAATCCATTAGAGTTGTAAGAGTGCCATAACTTAATACCAAAAACTGCCAGTATGAAATGTCATAGAATTAATATCAAATCTCTAGACAGGAAGGACACTGAAACAGACCATAAATAAACTGGTTCACTCATAAAAAATATATGGGGAATATATTTTGTTTATTAGCTATGTTATGATGTTAATTTGGGGTTAATAAAGACAAACGCCAAATAACATGTAACAATAAAATGGGGTTTATTCGGTTGGTAAGTTGGTACAGATATCGCCTGAGTAGTCTATAACTAACTCAGCCCAGAACTTCTCCGACTGTCTTTTGACATGCCACTATTTAACGTCCTTGTTTGTAGACGAGTTCATCTTCAAGAGGGGTGGTAGGTTCCTACACAACACCTCCCCCTTGAGATTAATTCGGAGGAAATTAATATTTTTTCTTTTGGGATCTGGACTTAAACGTTCCACCCTCGTTCTTTTTCTTTTGCTTGTCCTTCTTTGAACAACTGTTTCAGGCAATGGTGGAGTCGGTATATCAAATAAATCATATAATACCTCCATTGGTTCTTCCTTTTCTTCACTTATTTCTTCGATGATTCGTTTCCTTAATTGGTTCAAATGTCTTTTTTGCGTCCATTTTTTGCTTCTTATCATGTACAACATTTTACCAATTCTTTGCGTTTACCCATCTTGCCAAAATTCCTTCCCATTTTTGTAATTTTTAAAAAAACTATCTCCCGCCTGAAATATTTCATATTTACCTGATGCGTTTTGTTCTGGTAACTCTTTTTTTTTTTCGGCAGCAGCCTATTGAACACCGATCTAATTTTTCTAGCAAACATCAGTTCAGCTGGAGACATCCCTGATATTGTGTTTGGATTTGGTATTATTCTGTATATACTTAAAAACTGCTGTATATTACCATCATCTCTATTAGTACCATTTGTTTTTTTAAGGGCTCTCTTGAATGTATCAACAAACCGTTCAGCCTGTCCATTTGACCTAGGATGGTACGGTGAAGTCGTGATGTAGTCAATTCCCAGAGTCTTACAAAACGTCTTAAAGTCACTTCCTGTGAATTGAGTTCCATTGTCTGTGGTAATTTTTTCTGGTACTCCAAACCATGCAAACAGTTCCGTAAGAAAATCTTTTGTTACAGAAGCAGTTGGTCTTTTGCACTTAAAAACCTCAGGCCACTTGGAATAGCTATCCACAACTATCAAGTAAAAATTACCATTCATGGGTCCAGCATAATCTATGTGGAGTCTGGTCCATGGAACATCTGTTTTTGGCTATGGTGTGTATTTTACTGGCGGTGCTTTTAGCTGCCATTTGACACCCTCTACAAGTTTTAACTACCTGTTCAATGTCTTTGTCCATATTTGGCCAATAAACATAACTCCTCATCAGGGCTTTCATACGTCCAATACCAGGATGCCCCTGATGAAATTCCTTCAAAATCCACATTAAGTAGTACAACCGTATCCACGACCCTTCCAGCATATAACAGCACTTCATCACATATTGAATATGCTGGTGAAGAAGTTTTATACTTTTCTGAAGTTACAACTTCTTTCATTTTTTTTAAAAAATGTCATTTTCTGATTTTAATTTTATTTCATCTAATGTCACCGTAATTCTTTTACTGTGTTATACATTACTTCCACCAATTCATTTTCTGCTTGTAACGGCGCTTATCACTGTATCTTCTAGCGGTTCCAAGACGTTGGGATCAGTCTAGATAAACCATCAGCATGGCTTAAATTTTTAGATGATAAAATTCCATTTTGAAATTATAATTCAACAAAATGGTTCCCCATCGTTACAAACGGTTTGCCGTATGAGTAGGTATACCCTTCTTAGAACCATAGATCGAAAGCAGCGGGCGATGGTCAGTCTGCAATATAAACCTTCTTCCATGTATGAACTTATGGAATTTTTTACAAGCATAGATGATAGCTAAGCTTTCTTTCTCAATTTGAGAGTACTTTTTCTGCGGGTAATAATGTCCTTGATGCATGTGCCACTGGCTTCAGATGTTGCCGTCTCTGAATTTATGCAAAATTACCACACCTATTCCGTACTCGCTTTAGCGTCCGATGCCACTATAATTTCCTGTTTAGGGTCATAATGTGTTAGTGATAATTCTGACGTCAAAATATTCTTTATTTTGTCAAACGCCTTCTGACACACTTCTGACCATTCCCACTTTGCTCCCTTTTTAAGCAACTTATTTAATGGAGCCGTGGGCTGCACATATTAGAATATATATCCCATAATAGTTAGCAAGTCCTAAGAATGCTTGTAACGTTACTACATTTTTGGGAGATGGCATGCTTTTGATCGCTTCTGCCCTCGCCGGATCTGGTCTTCTTCCATCAGAGTCTATTATCTGCCCCAAAACTTAATTTCACTCATAAAAAATTCACATTTTTCAGCTGCAAGTTTGAATCCATATTCTTCAATTTTTCAAAAACCTTATTAATATGTTCCAAATGTTCATTTCGATCTTTACTTTTTATCAAAACATCATCAAGATATGTAATGGCGAAGTCCAACCCTGCCAGCACAGTGTCCATAATTTGCTGAAAAATACTAGGGGATACTTTCAAACCAAACGGCAAACAGTTAAATTTGTATACACCCTTGTGTGTATTGATAGTCAACAATTTAGAACATTCTTCGTCCACTTTCACTTGGAGATAGGCATCTGATAAATCCAATTTAGAGAATATTTTTCCTCCACTTAAACTTGCAAAAATGTCTTCTGGTGAAGGCAAAGGATATGTGTGGTCTTTTAAGCAATCATTTAGACCCATAGAAAAATCGGCACACATCCGAATTTTATTATTTTTTTTCTTAACATATACAACAGGGCAGGCCCACTCTGAAAATTCAATGCGTGAAATAACTCCTAAATTTTCAAGCCGTTCAAATTCCTTGTCAGTCTGTTCCAAAACACCAAATGGCACATTTCTTTTTTGCTTGAAAATAGGTTTTATATTTTCCTTCACTTCAAATTTTGCCTTCACCTTTTTGCAACATCCATGACCTTCTGAAAATACTTGTGGAAATTTTATTTTCAGATCTTTCACAAAATTTTCTGTAACCCGATTTTTACACTGAGAAGAAACATTAACTCTATTACAAAAAGAATTTATAGGGAGTTCCCATAAATTAAACAGTATAATCCAATCTGTTCCAAACAAATTTGAAGCATTTTGTAGCACATACACTTTAGACTTTAGTGTCTTACCAACAAATGAAATATTACAAGAAAATTCACCTTGAAAATGCAATTTTCTTCCAGAAATCCCGCGAGCCACTTTCAGTCTTTTTAAGCAAAGGTCTGCCTATTTTAATCCATGTTGCTGTATTAATAATGGAAATATCACTTCCAGTATCTAGCTGTAGTTTAACAATTTTTCCATTAATTTTTACTTGTACGAATTTTTTTTTCTGCCCCTCCTCAATCTCCTGACGTGACAACACAATATTCACTTTTTCCGACTTAATTTTTTTCTTTTGCTTTTACAATGAGTACTTATATGGCCTTTATTGCCACACGAATAGCAATTTTTGTCGCGAAAAAAGCATTCACTTTTAAAATGACCACCACCGCATCCAAAGCACGTTGGTTTTTTAACGTTTTTATTAACTATTCCCGTTTTTGGTCGAATAGCATGGACACGGGATATGTCTTTTTCTTCAATTTGTGTATTGTCATGTTTTAAGTTTTCAATTCTTTGACACTCTTCCGTAACCTTCTGCAAAGTAATCTCGGAATTTTGTTTGAGTTTTGCCAATATTCGGGACCTTATGTCCTTATCTTTGCTAAAGTCAAGCCTTGAACGAATATCAAACATTTAAATCGATCAATTGAAAGATCATGTAACATAAAACGTTCACACATTCTGTTAACATTTCCAGCATACGTAACAATATCCTCATCATCACGCTTTACCATATTCAAACACGAGAAACAGTATGGAACAAACTAACTTTCGCCAAAAAATACTAGATAAAGTATTAACAGTTTCTTGAAAGAAATGTCACTAGTTTTTCTTGGAAGGACAAAATTCGTATACTTATTATTTTCATCTGTACCCAACTTTTGTAAAAAGTAAACTCACTTTTTGTTCATCAGTCCAACCTTCACATTTTTTTTCAAATATTGTTTCAAATCTTCTGAAATAAGCAGGAAATGTTATACCCTCCTCTGGGTTAAATTTGAACTTGGTAATAGAAGTAGCAATACCTTCGACCGTGAATGACCAATTTACTGGATTCTTTAGTAACATTGCTTCAAATAAAGCCTTTGTGTCATTTAAGCTGCTGAACTTGTAAATCAATAGTTGTTCCCCCAAACAATTTTTGTTGCTCTTGTTGCTGAATTTGGTTTTT